GTACCGGTTCAAGCAAAACCCCAAGCAAGAAGACAAGCAAATACTAACTATCGAAAAACAGCAGCACAGCAGTATCAAGAAGAACACGACCACTACTAGTACTAAGTATCGAAAAACACACGACAGCTGTGCAGTATCATAGCCCCCGTTCTTGCTGCTGACTCACCACGACGCGACGCGAGAGGTGCAATCGTTGCTCGACGAGTATCACGTACGATACAGGTTCAAGCAAAACCCCAAGCAAGACAAGCCCTGACTCACAAGAGGTGCTGCTTTTTTGCTCACAATATAGCAGCAGTTGCTTGCTCGCATCCTACTACTAGTACTAGTTGTACGGCGGGTTCAAGCAAAACCCCAAGCAACAAGCAAAAAATAGTACAAGCAGTCGCATACGACGAGCAGTCGCATACGAGCAGTCGAGCAGTCGCATACGAGCAGTGGTGAGCAGTAGTAGAACTACTAAGAAGAACTACTAAGAATGGCAAGAACACGGACAGCAAGAAGAACAAGACGACTGGCTCAGAAAAGAAGGGGGGGAACTGTAACGCCTCCACGTGATGTGAACCAGCCAGGGCAATGGGGTAGATATCATAAGGTTCTGCTTGAGTTAATGGATCATGTGCATGGACAAACCAGCGATGGAGACAACGATAATCGGTTCCCTAATGACAAGCTGTTCACCCACGAGGAACTCAGCTTTTTAACTCCAGATCATATCTACAAGTTCTTTGCAAAGAAAGCTTTCGGCCGCGAGGATCCAGGCGTTGATGATAATCCTACTCATGGTAGATCCACTTCTTTAATCTACTACAAGAAGGCAATATCATACTTCATGCCGAACAAGATGCACAAATGGACAGTTGTTGGTGGTGTTGGAAGTGGGAATCCTACCAAGTCCCAGAAAGTTAATGACCTCATCGCGGCTGTTGTCAAGAAGGAAACCAGAGGACTTGGACAAGCAAGCAGCATGGATAGGCCTCTTACAAAGGATGAGTTTTTGCAAACACTAGAACTGATGTCGAATCATGGTTCTATTACCAATCGGTTGAGGTTCCTTGCAATGCTTAAGTTCCAGGTCCACTTGATAGGTCGGAATGATGATATGGCTCACGTTGGCAAAGACAGCTTGGAGAGATCAACTGAATTTCMCCAGTTTCTTACAGCAAAGATGAAGTGGTCTAAGAATGTAAGGGAGGAACGTGATTGCCCACGGCAAATACTGCTTGGATCGATGGATCATAGGACCTGCGTGGTGCTTGGGCTTGCTTTATTCCTTGAAAAGTGGTGCAAAGATGGTGAAGGAGCAGCAGGCCAGTGGCTGTTCACTGAAGGAGTAACAGACAGGAGGTCGCAWKCAAGGGATATTGAGAAAGAGATTACCAAAGGAAAGGCTGCTTATGCTCGGTTCATCAAGCGTTATGTGTTTGATAATGAAGCATTTAATGCTGAAAGACCGGATTCGGAAGGCAAGCTGGGGACTCATTCCTTTAGGAAGTTTGCCACAACTTTTGCAAGGCAGTCTGGAGGATGCAGGGACAATGTCGATTACAGGGCACGTTGGAAGTCTAGAAGGCAACAGGATCGATATACTGATACACAGCTTGCTTGGCCTGATATTGATATTGCATCGAAGCTTTGCTTTGGAGGAATCTGTCTTTACAAGCCTGAAAGGACAGGAATCACGGATGAGTGGCTTGCTKCKTCWGTWGCYCCTRATATTGCCAATGTATTTGGCAATCAAGTGGCTGCAGTTCTTGGCAAAGCGTTGCTATGGGCCTGTTGTGAGCCGGTCATGCAAGGCTTGGTGCCAGAGGATGTAAAGAGGGACGTCGTTGCTTCTTGGATTCAATTGAATTACAGTTTGCCAGTTGCTGAGAGGTTGGATCGTGACGTGAATCCTATCAAGCGTGTTGAGCTGGTTGCCAATGAATTCAGTGGGCAAGTTCACTTTGATGAGCTTGCTGATCCAGATGATCTCGGTGGCGGAGGAGGAGGCGCCGGCRGAGCTGCTGGAGGGACTGCTCTCGGAATTCGTAGGACTCAGTTGCAGTGGAACCATGCAATGTTTTCAAAGCTATTTGCCACAGCTAATGAAGTGAATGAGATCAAGAACAGACAGATTTCAAGTGAAGCAAAGTTCAATCGCAAGCTGAATAGAGCCATCGAGTTGTCCCAAAGAGCTGCCATGGCCCCTGTAGCAAGACGTCGGGTCGTCCGAGCTGTAAACAGTGGCGCGTCGGAAGCTGGTGATAGCGCGAGTGGAAATGCTGAGCTGACTAAGTGTCCTAATGATCTTTATGTCCTCTGGAATGAATGGGAAGTGGGCGTTGGTCTGAATAAGCCTGCAAAGGAGTTCACTAGTGCTGAGAGAGGTCGTGTAAAGAGCAAGTACTGTAGGCGTTTGAAGTTCTGGAGATGCATGGAAAGACTCATCAGAGCTGGTTGTTCTTCAGAAGTGGCTGTAAGAAGAATTTATGCAGTGTATGGTCCAACCAAGAGGGTCTCTTACATCCTCAAAGCTATGGGACCCCATGAAGCCAATGGGGGTCACCACATGCTTCGCGGACCCCCGACTGTTGCTGCTTCTTAATCATCGACGTCGATGTGTCGATGCGTGTTCTTTGTTCTTTGTTGAGTGTTCCTTACTACTTGTCCCCCCCCTTATATCAAAAAATCATAAAAATATAGTGTACTGTGTATATGTGAACTGTAGTACTGTATTTTGCTATCCTCAACAAGAGGACCATCTTATTAGCTGACAGGAGCGTCGGTGTTGTTGTTGTTATCGACGTGATTGTTGAGAATTACTCTCCCGACTTGGTTTTTTTCCATAGAATTTGCCTTGTGCGTGATCGTGTGAGTACCTCTCATCAAACACGCTGATACTCTTGCGCTCCGCGCATGCTTCGTGCACCTTGTATATCTACATAGAATATGTACTGTGTCCTACAGGGTTGCATTTATAGTTGATATATTGTTTGGTACTTGCCTGGTACACTCGTACGTACTGTACTTCGTACCTCCTTACGAGTACAAGTAACAAGTATGGGTAATTGTACTGTTATTTACTGCTAAAAACATGGTTTCAAGATTCTTAATACTAGTGACCAGACTGAATAATTCCACGTGGATTTTTTTCTCGAATGTCCTTGCACTCCAGCTAACACGGAAGCCGCTCGATGAAGTCACAGATTGTCTAGTCGGACGAACGTTGAACTCGAATCAAATAAATATGCGACTATCACCGCAGTTTCGTGCTTATTCTTGATCCTTTGTACCAGTACCGATACGTAAATCTCGTACGTATCGTACAGAGCTCTTTCACAAAGATTCCCGTTTGATCTCAAGTTCAGAAATACTAGGTGCCAAGCTCCGTGCCGCACCGAACTCATCTCAGAGCAACTCTGTACTACACCATCCACCACTTCCTAATAATCAGACGCTCAAATCGAATATTTTCCACAATGAAATTTCTATTTCACCTTTCGACCCTCGTGTTGCTGAAATCGTGCGTCTCGTCGGCGTTTGTCTGCAACCCGCAACGCATCGCGTCCGCAACCACGCGGTTAAGCGCAGCCAATGGTGATGTCGATTTTGACACACCGGAGATGGGTGACGTCGGTTTTGTCCTCCTTGCTGGGGGCACGGGGAGCCGAATGAAAGCGAGCATGCGTAAGTTGTTGACTCGTTTGTGAGTTCCCGGTGTTGCTTTGGGTCAAACGAGACGACCGGGATAGAAAATTGTTCAAAATTAAAAAAAGATTCTGTTGCGAATTAGCAACTGCGCCAGAGTTACATAGTAGTCTCAGGTACTGTTGTAAAATGATTTTCTTATTCTTATCGTTTGAACGGGGCAGCAAAACAATACCTTCCACTGCGAGGAGTACCTGTGTTGCACCATTCGCTCGATTTATTCCTGGAAAAGCTAGTAGACCATTGTAAAAGCAGTGGAGACTCATCGCCTCCAGAGAATGTTGTACTCGTCATGGACCCGAAGTATCAACCCGAATACCAGGCTATTGTTGATAGATACCCCGGTCGTCTTGAATTTGCAAACCCCGGAGAGGAACGACAAGGATCGGTCGAAAACGGTCTCAACAAACTTGTGGAAATGTCAGAAGGAAAGTGCAAATACGTTGCTGTTCACGACAGTGCACGACCCTTGGTGACTATCGGAGAAATATGTGATGTCGTCAGAGATGCCAAAGAACATGGTGCAGCCGTATTGGGAGTCCCATGCAAGGCCACCATTAAAGAAAGTGAAGATGGTTCTTTTGTCCAACGAACAATCGAGCGATCTAGACTTTGGGAGGTGCACACTCCACAGGTAATCCTAATCGAAAATTTGCTGAAAGGATTCAAAAAGGTCGCGGAAGAAAATTTGGAAGTTACGGACGATGTTTCTGTCATTGAGCAATTGGGAGAAGCGGTGAAGCTTACACGAGGCGAATACACAAATTTGAAGATTACAACTCCGGAGGACATGGATGTCGCTGAGGCCATCTTAGAAGATCGGAAAAGTAAGCCTGTCAATATGTTGGCTTAAAAAATCAAATGTGGTTTCATGAAGAATTTCTCGAATCCGCTCATTGTCTTGATAGAGAAGCAGAAAAAAGTGTTATATGCTATGCATAAACTTCGTATTATTTATATCATAACGAATAGTAACTCTCCTATTATGACAACAACGGTGGTTCGGTTCTATTCCTACTCTACATTGTTCGAAGAAACTGGAACATACCAATATTGGCTTAGTTCTGAAGAATTTGAAAATGTGCCGGTTCAACTATTTCGAGTCCATTTTCTGACAAAAGACTGCGTCGTGTCTTTTTAATTGCACAGCCAGCATCAATTCTATATATTTGTTGGGTGCTTGTTTCACAGAAGTAACATAACTTGCGTTATCTACTTTTCGCTCGGCGCTCGAGTTGTCCTTTTTGGCGGGTCGAGCAATCTGATCGATAAGATTCTTTTGCTATCTCCCTACACGTTCTCGAACAAAAATATTCGTCGTTGCATTCTCTACACCAAACAGAGATCTTCACCTTTTCACCGGTTTCGGGATCCAATTCGCCGTGGGTCTTTCGGCAAGAAGGATTTGCACAAGACTTCCCGTTGCGGTCCTTTGGCTTGGGTTCGGCTGCAGAACGATTTCTGGAATTTCGCTCCCCGCCATTGTCGGAATGCATACTCCGAGAGAGAACTATTCGGTAGTCATTCTGCAAGGCTTCCCAAGCACCCGAGTGTTCCCAAAGATTATATAGGGTCCACGCGTCCAGTAAATCTTCCACATGGGGGTGCGTCTCGGGCCTCGGCGGGCCATCTTCTAAAAACGAGGCAGAGCCCGCCTCGTTCAGAACTTCTCTAGCTGGTAATGAAAAAGAGAGTTTCGGCCGTCTTCCTTCAATCGCGGGCGGGCACACATTCAGAGTCATATCTTCCAGCAAGTCCTCCATACACTCTAAACATGTCAAGCGGCAAATTGTTCTCGTCCCTAATGTCATTTGCGATCCTTTCATTATGGTGATTTGGAGCAACGGATAAAAAAGAAGCCAGTATTCATGTTCGTAATCGTCACCCTCTTGGGGAGTTTCGGCAGTCTTGCCACACAATGGGCACATCAGTAACGACTGAACATCCGGCCAATCGAAACTTCCATTTGGCGATATATTCATTTCAATTGATTGCTCCTTTGTTCGCATCATGACATTGAAATCTTGAAAATTTTCTGGTGTGAAAATACAGCGACCTCCTACCGTCAGTGTTATGGGCATTGTTCGCTGTATCGTCCCAGGAGAAGGCTCAAATTGAAGTATTGTACATCCATTAAAATCCACATAAAAATTTTCGTCTCCGTTTTGGTTATCACTGTCAGTCTCAGGGTTGTAACCCTTATCTTGATACACAAGTACTCTTTGTTTGGGCAGGATTTTTATCCTTGGATCAAAGGTACCATCCTCTTGTATTAGTAGGCTGCACTTAGCCTCCATCATCCCAGGAGTTTCCAAGCCAGACCATGAGGGCGACTTATTATTGGACATTTGGGAGTGTGGTGCAATCGTTGATTTGTCTTTGTGATGTGTTGTTTTCTGAAATAATGAATTGGTCAAAACAGCTCCTTTTCTCCTCATCGATGGGCCTGTCGAATACCGTATCGCCCTCTCTTTCTCTCTCGTACCTTTTTTTTATTCCCGTGGTGGTCCTTCCCTCCGTAGATATGGTTCGAAGGGGGAAAGGCCGTGACACGTTTCCGGCAGAGCAGGCCTCGTCTTCCGTGTCAAGAGTAAGCAAACGCCGTATATCAACACTAGGTAGTCCAAGATATCAAGATATCCTACGGGAAACCAAGAGCAAACCTCCCCTTTTCTAATGCGTCCTAATACCAGCGAATTAAAAATTGATGCAGCATTATCCGAGAAAGGACAGGAAGCATGCACTGAATCACTTCTTGATAATCAAACCTCTCTTATTACTTCGGTGTCGACGTTCAGATACTTCTTGTTAGATGTGTTTAAAAGCGAGATGAATCCGTGCCACCTACTCTACAAATGGAGAGATATTCAAAGATCAGAACTGGTTCCCGATCATTCAGCAGGTTGCAACTGACACGAGGTTAATGAGTGCTGTTGCTGTTGCGGAGGCGGAGGTAGAGGAACTGGAATACTGCTAATAATTAAGGTCTTTCGCTGCATGGAGCCTTTTGGGCCTTTTTGTTGTTTCGTACATTACTTCGCCGCGCACGAAAAAATCCCTTCGTGGCATGAACTCGTTCCGAGTACGAGTAAGAGCACTCACGTTCAAGTTCTACCGGTAGCCCACGATCACGAAGGAAAGGTCATCAAATTACAGTACATTAAAAAGTACGTAAAAAATAATGCACAGCACGAAGCGCAGCATGGCGGTCGGCTGTGGGCAGCGTTAGTCCCCACAAGTACCGAATGGTACGTACGTAGCAGGCGTAGAAAGATCATTTGTACCGTACCAACACCAAAAAAAAGCCTGCGGATTACTTCCTCCATCCCATAATGAGTGTCCTATTTGGACCTCCACGGTTGAAACAAGAAGAAACTCAACGGGTCATTCCTGAAAACATTAAAAACTTGGGGGAATGTTTTAAGTGGTAGTACAAAAGACATCCTGAAAACATTAAAAAATAATCTTCTTGGGAATGTTTTAAGTGATACTTCTACTAAAGACACGGCAGGCTTGCTGAAATTACATATTAATGACCCCTCTTTCTTCTAGTAGGGGACGAGTGTGGAATCATAATTTACTAGTAGTAGTAGTAGTAGTAGTAGTAGTAGTAGTACTAGTAGCTCGCAGTTTGTTCTTCTTCCTTCTTGGTGGTGTTGTTGGTGGTGGTGCCCAGTCAGGAGGAGTGCTGTTTTCTTCTACAGTAGTAGTACTACTAGTAGTACTACTAGGGCACGCCTACTTGTCACGAGACTGAAAATTTTTAGTCAAGAAGAATTCCAATAAATATGTATCCTCCTCTCAAATACACAGCAGATCCTGCTAGTGGTGGTTGTTGTGGTGGGTTCATGGCAACCAGTAAGGTCTGTGTATTTGCATTTCAGATACATAAACCAAGCCGGCTGGTTAAAAAAGACATATATTGATGTTTTTGAGAATAAACCAATATTGGGGTGCCTACTAGTACAAGTGGTAGTAGAATGGTTCTGAATTGTTCTTCTTACTTTGTCATACTGAGGATACTCCAATATAAATTTATGATACTACTATTCATACTACTAGTACTACTAGTGTCTCTCACAAGCAGTAAGTTTGGAATAGTACTACTACTAGTACTACTAGCCCATTCAGAACAAAGTATTTTTGACATCATACTACTGTGAGGAGGCAGTTTGTGACACAACAACCACCAGTTCTACCACCAGCCATGACCACCAGTTCTACCACCAGCCATGACCACCAGCCACCACCAATAGCACAACAAGCACCAGCACCAGCACCAGCACCAGCACCAGCACCAGCACCAGCACCAGCACCAGCACC